CCTGATGCACATCTGCTGTGATTTTCTGATGGAACATCCCAAATCCCAAAACTCACCCAGACATCAACATAGTGTTGGCCCAGATCCTGGCCACATCTGGGCCTCGTGGAATTGACATGTACCAGATGTGGGCCGACACTTTGTCGCTGTCTGGGCAACCATTGCCTAAAGCCTTGTTTATACTCGACGCGTCCGCACGAGCACGAGTCTCCGCTGACTGCGCGCGCACCTCTCCATATGGACGAGGCATTTATACTTGACGCGCTCGCCGTTGTGCTATTCTGTGAAACGACAGGGGGCGACTCGGAGTAATTCTCCTCTAAACCACCAGGAATCAGCAGTGAAGAAGTAGTTTGCCATTTATTAGTAGTTTATTAATTTCTGATTCATATAAAAAGAGTAATAAATGCAGTAGGTTTATTGTACTTTCACTGCATGTAAACTAGTAAACAACTGAAGCCTTATTGAAGAGTGTTTAAACCTTAATTTCATCAGCAGGGCTTACTTCTGCTATTGTAGGCTTATTTTGTAAATGTAAGCAGTTACTTTATACAAGTGCAAACTGGGTGCTTAATGTAAATGTGTTCCTATTCACAAAATGAGAGGCTTTTATGGTCGCCCATTAATGCAAATGTCTCTGTGTATAGAAGGATCATAAACATGGTGGTACAGACATACCAGTTCGGCCAGATTCGGCTCGAAGTCGTTCATCTTCGGATGCGGCACCGCGCGCGATGTTACAAAAAGTGCCGTGCACACCGCCAGGCGAAATGGGGTCTGGGCATTTTCGCCGCGCGCACTTCGCGCTCTTGCGGACGCGTCAAGTATAAACAAGGCTTAAGGGCCCTAGCATACATCCGGCGCAAGTGTTTTTTGCTAGTTTCAGCCCGACACAGTTAACATTTTCATGTCCTGTGCTACGTTGTTTAAATAGCAAATGCATTTGCGCCCATGGGCTGCTGGTCTGTTGGCGCGTTGCTATTTTGAGGCAATTGAAATATAATAAAATATTTTTTGGGTGTTATTTAAAATGTGCTTTAGTAATTTGCGTACCCTTTTTCCCCTTAGATGGTCTGCTTGCGTTTTAACCTCGCGCACAAGCAGATCTGTTTCTTCTCTGGAGAAGTGTTCAGTCTTTCCACTTGCAAATCGCGAGTGCAACTGGCTTTTAAAAGGAATGGGAGATGAGACTCGGATTGGCTTATTGCACGTTACGCCCAAAACACCCCCTTACTTAGCCACCGGCAACTATAGTTGCTGCAGTGTTTAGTTGTCATTTTCCTTTTTTAAGAATTGTTTTAGATGTTATCCATGTTTTATTTCTCAATGACATGCAAGCAAACAACCAAATACAGGATTTCAAGAAAAGAAAAAAAGGTATTCACGTCCTTCCTGTCATTGATCTGTTGAAAGCAGTTATTTTGAGTTAGATGCCAAATGTTCTCCTCCTATTCAAATTTGACATTGAGGGGGTGCATACAACACATTAGCCCACCGGCAACTATAGTTGCCGCACGTTCAAATACGATTTTCAAGAAAAAAAAGAAAAAAAAACCTGAGGAAAATAAATGCAGAACATGTTCACATAGGACACTATTAACACGACTATATGCATGAAACCATCAGAAAAATTTGGGCACAAATGGGTTAAAAGAATAGAGATAACCCTTTTAGACCATGCGCCTGGCGCCGACCATCTTTCCCGTCCCCATCTGATGGTGCTGTTGTGTTTGAGATTTATGTGATAGATCATTATAATATGGAAGCCCATTTCCACCACATGAGAAAACAATGCTCTGGTAAATCATAGTTACGACATAAGTCAGAATTGTGACATAGAAAGTCGATATCATGATATAAAAAATTAATTATGATATACCAATTCGAAATTAGTATGTTATAGCCTACTGTAATTTCGACAAAAAGTCACAATTTGAACTTTGTATGTGATATTTTTTACCTTTTTAAGTCAAAATCCATATTTTTTTTTTCTTACAGTATGTGGGGGAAATGGCCCTCCGGCCCCTGGCTACGCCTAGAAATTCTGTCCATAAAAATTATGAACAGAACCGGCGACAAAGGGCAGCCCTGCCGGAGTCCAACATGCACCGGGAACAAGTCTGACTTACTGCCGGCTATGCGAACCAAGCTTCTGCTCCGGTCGTACAGGGACCGGACAGCCCTTAACAAAGGGCCCTGGACCCCATACTCCCGGAGCACCCTCCACAGGATGCCGCGAGGGACTTCTCCAAATCCACAAAGAACATGTGGATTGGTTGGGCAAACTCCCATGAACCCTCCAGCACCCTGTAGAGGGTATAGAGCTGGTCCAGTGTTCCACTGCTGGGACGAAAACCGCACTGTTCCTCCTGAATTTGAGGTTCTACTATCGGCCGTATTCTCCTCTCCAGTACCCTGGCATAGACTTTCCCGGGGAGGCTGAGAAGTGTGATCCCCCTATAGTTGGAACACACCCTCCAACCCACCTTCTTAAAAAGAGGGACCACCACCCCAGTCTGCCATCCCAAAGGTACTGTCCCCGACTGCCACGCGATGCTGCAGAGGCGTGTCAGCCAAGACAGCCCCACAACATCCAGAGACGTGAGGTACTCAGGGCGGATCTCATCCACCGCCGGTGCCTTGCCACCGAGGAGTTTTTTGACTACCTCAGTGACTTCAGCTTGGATGATGGGCGAGTCCACCTCCGAGTCCTCAGCCTCAGCCTCTGCTTCCTCAATGGAAGACGTGTCGGTGGGATTGAGGAGATCCTCGAAGTATTCCTTCCACCTTCCAACGACATCCCCAGTTGAGGTCAACAGGTGCCCACTGTAAACAGCATTGGTAGGGCACTGCTTCCCTCTCCTGATGCGTCGGACGGTTTGCCAGAATCTCTTCGAGGCCAGCCGGTAGTGTTATGTGTTGTGTAAATCCTCCCACGACACAGTTTGACCCTCCTAGTTTGCTCGATCTGAGAGAAAAGTAATTGTAACTGTTCATTTTACACTGTTTCTTTATTAAACTTTTAATCCTGTTTATGGGTGAATTAATTTGACTAAAATCATGACTGGGGGATTAACAAATCACAGATTCTTGACTTTATTTGCAACTTTTCTGGAAATGCCAAAAAAGCCTAACTAGTGATTTTAAATGATGTATATGTTTTCCAAATTTTTAGTGAATGGAAAAACCCAAAGTACATAGATAAAATCGTGTGCCACCTCACAGTGCCAGTTTCACTGAAGGAACAGTCTGTCAGAGCTTGGTTGGAAGGAGAGAGTTGAAGCGTGGATCTATTTGGTATCAAATTGGGTAAAAAAAACACCCTGGGACACGGGTGCTCAGATAAACTACAGGACTATAATAATAACTATATTTACATGCAGAGTAAACAAGACACCAGTGAGTGAAAGGTGTAATAAAGGAACAGTTTAACCGGAAGAAAACACAGGAAGAGAGAGATTTCAAACTAAACGTCCTTGAGAAACTTCAAGATAAAAGTCCTGAACGCAACAGAACACAAAACCAGCTGGAGCCTGAGAAACTGCTGAGAAACTGTAGTTATTGTGGTTTATTGAAAATATGCAGAGCATACTATCTGATTGTGGGGGTGTGGATCGGGATGTGGTTTATGACTTTCATTATTTTTCATCATCCATTAGATTAATTTAAGTTTGTCCGATGGAGATGAGTGAATGTGTGACCCACTAACGGGGTAGGTTGTAACACATGCTGGGGTAAGTTGTAACAATAGACAAAAGAAGTAAAAACGCATGCCATACCATATGATACTGTTCAAAAACAGATTTATTGAAATAAAAGAACAATGTCTCTCTCTCTCAAAAACAAGACTATGTCTGTTTGGTGTTTAAATTTGTCTACTGGAACAAACTTACTTGACAGTACACTTAATAATAACATTAGGCTACAATGTACCTAATTAAATAACATCTTTGTACATCTTTATGTCTAACAAAAACGTACATATCTGTGTGTGTAAATTGATCTACTAAACAAAAGTACTTACTGGTACACACTTAATAAACACTACTGCAATGTACCAGATTAAAGAACATCTTTGGACATCTTTTAGTCTAACAAAAAATAACATGTCAATGTGCATGTGAGTGTGTGTATATTCTTAATCATAGTCACAGTTCTGACAGATGATGCTGGTAACCCTGGAGTGCAGGCTTGATGGGCCCAGAAACTGCACAGGGTGCATTTCACCCAAACCTTCTTTGGCTTTGAGTTGTTTAATTGCTCCATGCAAACCACTTTACATAAAACACTGGCAGAGGCACCACTGTCAGTCTTTCTTTTCCATGCCCTAGTTATTCTTTAAAAACATTAAAATCAAGAAAATTCTTAGTTATATTCTTAGTAAGGGGATGGTTGTAACACTTTTTAAATAAGTGAACCAGAGTTCATTCACAGCCCATTTTCAAAGGGGCGTCACCAACGGACGTCGCTTAAATGCCTCTGGGCGAAATTGGATAGACCTAAAACCAATCAGAGCGATCGTCATCGTCAAACCTCAACGTTTGTGATTGGTGCCTCAATTTGGAAAAATTGGAAATGGGCTTGAATGGATCCTGGACAGACTGACTTGCAGAGCAAATCTCAAATTTGCCGGAAGTTCATCTGGGTTTTCCCAGGCTATTCAAAATCAATCAAATCTCTCTCTCTCTCTCTCTCTCTCTCTCTCTCTCTCTCTCTCTCTCTCTCTCTCTCTCTCTCTCTCTCTCTCTCTCTATATATATATATATATATATATATATATATATATATATATATATTCTGCATGTGCCTGTTTCCAGCCTTGACAATCACCATGCTGGTTTGGGGAGGAAGTAGGAAAATACTGAAGTGATCATGTTACTCTCCCCATGTTACAACCTTCTCTGGTCTCCCCCACACAGCAACTCAATATCATACATAACAATAGTGCTTATGAAAGTGCACGTGCAAAAGAAAATACACATTAGATGAAAAAAAAACATTCAAGAAAACCAGAGTCAGAAGAAAAACATCCTGGCAGAGATGTTGTATTTGATCAGCATTTTGGGTTGATATTTTCATAAATGTCCTCCTTTGATTTCTGCAAGGAAAAATAGACAGTCAATCAAGAGCAAAAGTTTAAATACTTAAAAATATATATATAATAACTAAAAATGTAGGATTCACAAGACCCTATTAAAGTTTCTGTAAAATTATTTCTTTGACTGGGCCTAGTTTTTAAGATTTGAACATTTTAATTGATTGTAGCCTAGGTGACCTAACCTTTCGTCCATCATTTGCACACGTTTGATCTCTTGTTGCATTGCCAACGGTCACTGTCTCCTCGACAACGACAAACACAAAAGTCTACCATTACCCGCGATGGAGATAAACTTTCTTCCGGGAAACACAAAAGGTGGTGGAAGGCAGAATGTTAGAGACTGATAGTTACACCTGTTTCATACTCCGTTTTCCGTAAGCTACTCATGTTAAAGGGGTGGTTGATTATGATTTCACTTTTCTAACTTTAGTTAGTGTGTAATGTTGCTGTTTTAAGCATAAACAACATCTGCAAAGTTACGACTCTCAAAGTTCAAAGCAAATGGAGATATTTTCTAGGACAGCAGCACATCCAGCTCCTCTACAAAGCTTCCCAGTTGACCTGGGGGGCGATATATGACTACAATATGGTTCTTAGTGTAATAGCATGATATTCAAACGAGTTGTTATTGCAGAAGAGAGAGTTCTTGAGTCTCTCCTTCTTTGTCTCATTTTCAGTGCATGTCTGTGTGAAGTAAAAGGACACAAGCTGTTGAAGCTCCGCCCCCTGTGACTGGAGCAGCAGCTCATTTACATTTAAAGGGACAGACACAAAAACTGTGTTTTTGCACACCCTCAAAAAGTGATCATTTTAACATTCCATATAAAACTATCTGTGGAGTATTTTGAGCTAAAACTTAACATACACTCTCTGGTGGCATCAAATACTTTTTTTACATCTTGTGAAAAGTGCATTATACCATCCCTTTAACAGGTTTAAGCCGGTTTAAGCCATTCACACTGCACAAGCGTTTCCGCACAGTCTATTATTTTTGCTGTTATGGACGCGCTGAGTTAAAGTGAAAGGAAAATGAAAATGTAGTAATCTCACCATAAATGCATTTAATTAAATTATACTACTATGTTTCACAGTCATCTTTTTACTTTAAGTCCGGTGTAAAGCAAGGAAAACGTCTCAGGTTATGACTGTAACCTATGTTCCCTGAGAACAGGGAATAAGATACTGTGTCAGAACGCTATGGGGAACGCCATCCGCGTGAACCGGTGTCTGAAACGCTTATCTAATCACGCCAATCCTATTGGCCGGCGACAGCCTATGACATCATCACAAGTGTGACCCTGAAGTATATAAGGGGAGCCTGGAGAACATGTCAACAACTTATCGTCTGCAGGGACTGTTCAGCAGGCATCCCAGAGGAATGGCGAAAAGACAGAGTGTCTCGTTCCCTGTTCTCAGGTAGGTAACAGTTGTAACCTGAGACGTTCCCTTTCAAAAGGGAACTCGCACTGCGTCAGAAGGCTATGGGGAACGATCTACCCACGCTGCCATGCTGAGGGAAGTGCATGCCAAATTATGGCTGAGACAAAAAACGGCAGTTTCACTGAAATACCCAAAACATTCCCCCTTCGGGTCACATACAGGCTGTCAGTGACAGTATTCCCTACGCCACTGCCCAAGCTATAAGCCTCAAAGAGGCCACTGATACAATTAAGGCCTACTAAGGCTGCTCAAAGGCTTTGGAACCAACCACTTCCATGGAAGGGGTTCCTTTAAGACTTTTCTATCATTGAATATAATCATTTTTTCTTATTGAGGGAAATTAATTTAAAGTATAGGTCTGCAAAATGGGAATACTGTATGTTAGTATTTACACTGCAGTGCAAACAGCATAGTGTAAATAGCATAAAACATGCTTCTAGTCATTTCCTCCTGAAGGTAATAAGTAACACGGTGGACTATCCACATCTGTTCACTGACTGTATGATGCACATGGAACACAAAAATTGGAACAGATTAACTGACTGCAACAACTTCTTGCAACACAGAATGATCTTACCTTTTTTCGTCTTATTGGTTTACACAATGCAGAATCCTTCATGTCTTTCGCCTGGGTTTGAACTAAATTAACAATAACATAATGCATACATGTTTAAAACAACAAAGTTTTCAATCTAAAAATGAAATTGGTGCCTTATAAAAGATAAATATTTTAACATATGCATTAATTGTTTGTTCTCCTGACCTAATTTTTTACGTTTCCTGCAGATGCAGCAGATCACGACTGCAACTATAATCAACAGAGATCCAGCAGCAGCAGAGATCAACACTATCAGAGACACTGAGAGTGGAGGAGGAGAAGGAGACGGTGTTGTAATGTCTAAAGAGAGAGATTAATGTAAGTGAACGCATCAGTCTGATACAACAGAAGACAGAGATCAGGTCAGTAAATACACACATGTATCATCAGCGCTGTCGTACCTTCACATGTGTGTCGGAGTTTGTTGATGTCCAGATGTGTGGTCTGGTTGCTGATGGGATTGTTCAGCACACAGCTGTAGGTGTTTTTATCCTGATATTCCACCTCCAGAGGTAGAGAGAGACTGATGCTGAGATCACACACACTGATGCTGGACAATACACTCATTCCTGCATACCAGGAGAGAGTCACATCACTCACATTCAACACTGAACACAGCAGTGAAAAATTTGATGAAGATGATGATGAAGAACATTGTGAAGAGTTAATGCTGATGACAGGAACAGGCAGACGAGCTGTAAAACATGAGAGAATAAAGAGGAGTATTGATAAATCTACACAACAATCTTATTTCCAGCTTAATGTTTTGAGTGAGTGTTTAGGGCAGTGGTATTCAAATGTTGGATCACCATGGTTCCATCCAGACCGTGGGACATAATTGCGGCATTTTACAAATTCTACAGTTTTAAGCGAGCAGCGCATTAAAACAATGAAGCTGTTCCCTTTCAAAAACTTCTCTCTGAAGTCTCTCTACTCACGGCTCATGCCTGAATACGACACACACCAGTTTTAACTAGTTTCTTTGTGGGAAGAGCCTGCTGCCCTTGCGTTTGAGCATGGTGAGTGCGAGTGTTGTGAAACGTTCACAGTTAAAGTGCTTCGTGTTCAATTTGCTAATTTCCATGTGCTAGCACCCACAATGTGATTGTGGGGCTTGTGTGTCATTCTGGGCGAGAGGCGAGAGACGGGTCTGCCCCTCTCTCTCCAGATCGGGATGTCCCTTTGCAGGACTCCAAAGCATGCCCTGGCACCTCATCGGCTCAGAGGGAGGACACTGGAGAAATCTCTTGTTTCTCTTGTGACAAAGTGCAAAAGAAATTACTTGAGATGGTGACTCATGCAATGTCCAGACTACAAATAGGTTGTGTTTGGTTGGATTTAAAAGAAATCTAGTGCGATTGCTCTGTTAGTGCTGTTCATTTGAACAAGTGTGAACACTGCCATCTGAATTCTGGTGCCACCAAACAAGCAGACCGAGACCATAGAAAAGATGGGTCTCGATCAGCTTCCAAACAAACCCTAGTTCGGTTCGACTGAAATATCAATGCAACATGGACCAAAGACATGTAAACAAACCAAAAGGACAGAATGCTTAAGAATACCTGTTTTTTCCCGTCATAGTCGCAATGTTTCCCATCACAGATCGGTACAGGCATCAGAACCGCGTCTCCTCGCGGCAGATCTTCGTTTGTGTGTGACGGAGGGATTCCTGCTGCTGTTTTGACTCATTTACAATTTTTTTGGTCTGGACCAAATGAACTAATCGAACCAAACTACAAGTGTGAACGCACCCTTAGACAAGCCATGGGAACAAGAGCCCCCCAAACAATCTAGACTGGAGAACAGATTTCGGTCTGGTGGCCAGGAGGAGTGACCTCAACATCGGGCTCTCCCCTTCTTTCAAGTGGTACTCACTGCAGAGTGGACGTCCATTGGGACGTCCATGTCTTTGGGGTGCAGGGATAGAGTTGTGGGTAGGGTGTGGTTAGATATTCTAGCTCCACCCATTAGGCCCAAATTACATTTGCTCCTCCTCGCTAGACATCCAGTAGATGTAAGTCAGTGCTCATCATTTGCTCAGCAGCTTCTCCCTTCTTTGAGGACCTCCATAGTGAGTTAACTCACTCTTGGGGGAAACCTTACACATCGCGTGTCTTTGTGCCTTCAACGTCGACATATTCAGCTAGCGTAAGTATGAATGCCCGCGGTTATATGATGGTGCCTCATGTAGAAGAGTCTGCAGTATCATTACAGAAACTAACTCTCCCCACTTAAGCCATGCAGAACAACCTCCACACTGGTGGGGAAAGACAGGTCAGGCTGGTGCTGCACTGCACAGTTATAGTTGTACCAGGCTGACCTGTTGAAGGATTTGAGAGCGGGTGGTTTGATCGATGAAGAATGATTCTCTGAGCTTCGTTGAGTCACAGATTTGTCTCTCGATGCAACTAAAGCAACCGTTCAATGGTGGTCTGGTCGCCACAGAGAGAGATGTGGTTGAACCTAACAGGCATCAAAGACTGAGAAAGGACGTTTCTGCTCGATGCCCCTTTCACCTACCTGGCTGTTTGGCGGCTCGGTTAACACAGTTGCCATCAGATTATGGGAGGTGAAGAGACACAAGGAAGCGTTTGTCCAGTTCCTTTCTCGCCCCACTCAAGGGAAGGGGCTGTTGACCACCCGGCCCAAACCCAGTCCTGCTCAGAGACGTGAGGCGCAGAAGCAGAGTTTGGCGAGTCGCGCTCCCCCTCGCCAAGATTGGGGACCGGCTCGTCACTCTCAGCAGCCTCATAAGAGACCTGATGCACAATGTGTAACAGAAGAATTAATGGAGGGGTCTTTTTTAAGTCCTCCAAAAATACCATTGACGTAGCCTTGAGTTTTGCTTTAAAAAAATTTAAAGGATTTTTTTTTTTTTTTTTTATAATCAGTGCCACAAATGCTGTTGATTGAATTAAGAATATGTTTGGACAAAATTACGTCTCTACTCACCATAGACAGAAACACTGAATGTTTTTGATGATTTTTTCGCTCCAGTTATCTCTAGTTGATAAACTCCAGCATGTTCAGTTGTGGTGTTTGTGATGGTCAGAGATCCAGTTTGATCATCCAGCTTCAGTCTGTCTCTGAATCTCCCATCAGGAACATCATCATATGTGGAGAAGATTTGCTTCTTTTTATTCATTTTAGCTATGAGAGATTTTTCAGCTCCAAATTTCCACAGTATATCATCGTCTTTACGTATTTCAGTAACAGTGTTTAGAGTAACAGAATCTCCCTCCATAACTGACAGTGAATCACCAAACACACCTGGTGAACAAACAGATTTTACACAGATTACTTCTAATATATGAACATGATATTAATGGAGTTGTAAACATCTGCTATCTAGATCACAATAATTGTATGAAACTATGAGCTTTGTATGATGCTCAAGCATTTGTAGGATGCTTCATTTTTGATAGCATACAATATTTGAAATATATGAAATATATATTTAATTATATATATATATATATATAAGGCGCATTTATTTAGCTTGCCTTGTGGTGTGTGCCTTCACAGTTCTCCCTCTCATGCTCAGCACTTTTTATCATTCTTTATGGTTTGCTTCCGCTCTGCATTCATATCTCTTATTTAAACAGTTTTATAAGGCTTTCCGATCACCTCGTGTCTCATCGCTTCTCAGAATGCCACTGACTCTCACACGAGCAACTGGCTCAAAATTTAGCTTGAGTCTAGTCAAAGCACCATTGATACATTGACACACTATCAGGAAAAACCTGCAAATATCAGGTAATTTAAACATTGTGATTTCCAGGTCCCGTCCTAAGTCATGCGAGCTGGGCCTGGCCTGAGATTTGAAAGTGGCATAATGGAAGAATCTCCACTGGATGAAGCTACATTCATCATAGCAATTTACATTGTTTTCCATGACCTTTAACATCTGTGAAGAATGTTACTGATATTAAGCCAAAAAAATAAATAAAAACCCAATAACTTACCAGTCAGACGCCACCAGCACAAACAGAACAAAACAAACATGTGAATCATTTTCTTCAATTGTTCAGTGAAAAGTCTGATAAAAAGTCTAGTTAATGTCTGCCGTCTCTTATTGAGACTCTAGCAGCTCACCGTCTGAGTCAAACTGAAACCTGCTGTGGTTGGTTTTCTTCCGAGATGAAGAGTAGGTAATGCACGTGTGTTTATTTTCTACTAGGTGAAAGAGCTTCTTCCTGTCCTGCTTAATGACTCTCACGGTTAATGCCTGCACAATAAATCTCACAGTTAATGCCTTCACAAAACAGCTTTTTAGCCAAATTATCAACCCTTTATTATCAACCTTCCGTCCTATCTCTGTATTGCCTTTTGTCTCGAAGGTGTTAGAAAAAGTTGTTCTTGACCAACTCCAGCTCTTTCTAAAATGCAATGATATTTCTGAAAAATTTCAATCTGGTTTTAAGTCTGCTCACAGTACTGAATCTGCCCTGTTGAGAGTTTTAAATGACATCTATCTTTCCATGGACACTGGTGACTCTGTGGCTCTTGTTCTTCTGGATCTGTCAGCAGCTTTTGATACTGTCGACCACTCTATCCTGATATCCAGACTAGAGTATGATGTGGGGCTAAAAGTTCAAGTTCAAGTTCATTTATTTGTATAGCACATTTAAACAGCCGCTTAGACAGACCAAAGTGCTTTACAGAACACACAAATAAGAAAAGTAAAAACAGCAAAAACAACCCCTAAAACACATAAAAAGCAGCAGAGCTACGAAAAGCCTTATCAGAGATTCAAATATAAAATCGTAGAAATAAAGAAAAAAAAAAAAAAGATCAATAAGCTAAAGAAAACAGGTAGGTTTTTACCAAAGACTTAAAGATAGAAAGGGTGGGGGCCGTTCGGATCTCTAGAGGCAGGGTGTTCCACAGACGAGGCCCTGCCACTGCAAAGGCACGCTCCCCTCTACGCTTAAGTCTGACCCGAGGGACAACCAGCAGAGCCTGGTCGTGTGACCTTAGGCTTCTGGACGGAGAATAGGGATGAATGAGTTCGGATAGATAGGCTGGAGCTAAGTAGTGTAAAGATTTAAAAACAAATAGGAGGATTTTAAAATCTATTCTCTGCCGGACTGGCAGCCAGTGTAACGATTTAAGAATCGGAGAGATATGGTCGTATTTGCGACAGTTAAGGATAAGTCTGGCCGCAGCATTTTGGACCAACTGAAGACGGGCAATTTGAGAAACTGATATCCCACAGTAAAGTGAGTTGCAATAGTCTAGCCGACACGTGATGAAGGCATGAACCGCCATTTCCAAAG